AAGGGCAGAAATGCCTTATTAAAACAACATCAGAGGGGCGCCTGGGTGGCTCAGTCGTTAAGTGCCTGCCTTCAGCTCAGGTCATGATCCCAGGGTCCTGGGATCGGGCCCCACATCAGGCTCCCTGCTCAGCAGGCAGCCTGCTTCTGCCTCTCCCAGTCCCCCTGCTTGTGTTCCCTCGTTCGCTTTGTCTTTGTCAAATAAATAAATAAAATATTTAAAAAATAAATAAAATTACATCAGGGACTCATAAAATTACATAGTAATAAGATTTTAAGAAAATTAAACTATATGACTATATGCAATATTTTTAATGGCCTTCTAAGGTGGTACAGAGCTTCAGACCCACTGCTTAATCAACCTCTCCTATATAATTAAAGGTCACTAGGTGGCCTTGATTAAAATTATGAGACTAAGTCCCCAGAGGGGGAGAAAAATGTCCTGTGAAGAATGACATTCATTCTTGAAATAACACAGTCTAAATGCTGGCCCAAGACTGCATCATGAAATGCAAATGATTCTTGTCCCCAGATTCAACAACCTTTGAAGGTTCTCAACTTCTAAACGCTGACATAACAGACATAATTAGCACACAGGTGCCCCAAGTGGGCATGTATGTGGAAGAAGCAAAACCTCTCACCATACATCTCTTTAGCCTGCTGTGCCAAATCCTGTTTGGACAGGGTGGGTGTCTAAACCTTGTTATCTGAGACTTAAATAATAAGAAAGGACAAAAGAGATTATTCCCAAATAGTAACAGCGGATTAGTAAGAGGATCAAGAAAAGACACCCAATGCTTCCCTTTCTCCAAAACTAGTCATCTCAATATGTGAGAAAGGCTGGACTTAAAGGTATGGAAGCCGAAGGCATAAAACTATTAAAACAGAGTAATAAGTATAACCAGTTTTGGCTCATGTAGGAAAGAGGTCCTGACGTCAGTATAGAGAGTTTGATATAAAGGTCCAAAATGATTCAAATGAAGCCATCCCTGTAACTGGTAATTTCAGCAAGACAACTGCCTCATTTCACATAATCCCTTCCCTAAATTCCAAATTACTGTCAAAGTTAGGGACTTTCAATACTTAACTGTCATGAGACATAAGAAATACAAGACATCAGGGATGCCTGGGTGGCTCAGTCGTTAAGCGTCTGCCTTCGGCTCAGGTCATGGTCCCAGGGTCCTGGGGTCGAGCCCCGTATCGGGGTCCCTGCTTGGTGAGCCTGCTTCTCCCTCTCCCTCTGCTGCTCCCCCTGCTTGTGTGCGCTCTCGCTCTCTGTGTATCAAATAAATAAATAAAATCTTTAAAAAAAAAAAAATACAAGACATCAGCTAGTTCACTGCAATTGTGGGCCAACTAGTTAATGGTAAAATAATGAAGACAATATAAAAAATTCATGTCAGGTTTTATGTAGTTCTGATCATCTAAGGATATGTCAGTAAAAAAATCTGTAAGTGACAGTGGCAAAAAAGAAAAAGGATTTTTTGTTGATCATTTAATAACATACTGAAAAGTTAAAATTGTTCTAAATGCCGTGAAGAAACAAAAATGGGAAACAGTTTTCTTTATGAAATTTACTGGCACTTATTTACTCAAATTTCTGGAGCAATGGACTGTAACTTTTTTAAAAAGAGGAGGGGTTAATGGAACATTTTCCCCTAGCCTTTCATATTTCTTAACTTCCTTCCTCTTTTTGTTCCTCTAACTTTTTTTTTTAAGATTTTATTTATTGGGGCGCCTGCCCTCGGCTCAGGTCATGATCCCAGGGTTCTGGGATCAAACCCCGCATCGGGTTCCCTGCTCGGCGGGAAGCCTGCTTCTCCCTCTCCCTCTCCCCCTGCTTGTGTTCCCTCTTCACTGTGTCTCTCTGTCAAATTAGTAAATAAAATCTTTAAAAAATAAAAAAAGATTTCATTTATTTGTCAGAGAGAGCGCACACATACGAGCGTGCACAAGCAGGGGGAGTGGAAGACAGAGGGAGAAGCAGACTCCCCTCTGAGCAAGGAGCCCCATGTGGGACTCAATTCCAGGACCGTGGGATCATGACCTGAGCCGAAGACAGACGCTTAACCAACTGAGCAACCCAGGCGCCCCTCCTGTAGTTTTTTTTTTAATGTTCCAAAACAATAAAATATTACTATTGTATTTTTCCATAAGATCTGCCTTGGGCTCACAGGACGAGTGATTCTATACCAAAAATAGTGACTGAAAGTTACTCTGTTTGACTTAAGTGAAACCAATTGGGTAAGAATCCTAGACCAACCATTAAAAGACCCGATTTCTACACCTGGCCCCCATCAATCAAAGTCACTTTGTACAAATTACTTCTTTTATCAAATTTTCTTGCTGTTGTTAAATGAGATTCTATTTGTGAAGATGTTCTTAAGCACAAGAGAATTGAAAGTAAGATTATTCCTTTTCATTCCGAATAGTACTCAAGAAAAAACACATACCACATTAAAGCACACATTCAAAGAGTACTAGGACAAGACGGTACAGAAACAGCACAGAAAAACCAAATGCTGTGATTTAGTGGCCATGGTACAATCATGCTCTTCTTCCATTATACAATGGAAAAAAAAATGCACTTGTCCTGAGGCACATTCAATTGTGCTCCATATGGAAGCCACCCAAAATCCTTTCACTAGAACAAAATCTAAGATGTTCTAAACTAGGGGCCCCTGGGTGGCTTAGTCAGTTGAGTGTTTGCCTTTGGCTCGGGTCGTGGTCCTGGGGTCTTGGGATCGAGCCCCGCGTTGGGCTCCCTGCTCAGCAGGAAGCCTGCTTCTCACTCTGCCCCTCCCCCTGCCCGTGCTCCCTCTCTCTCTCAAATAAATAAAAATCTTAAAAAAAAAAAAAGATATTCTAAACTAGCTATGACAACCTCAGCAATGGCTTTTTTTTTTTAAAGATTTTATTTATTTGACACAGAGAGAAAGACAGCGAGAGAGGGAACACAAGAAGGGGGAGTGGGAGGGAGAAGAAGGCTCCTGGCTGAGCAGGGAGCCTGATATGGGGCTCGATCATGACCTGAGCCAAAGGCAGACGCTTAACGACTGAGCTACCCAGGAGCCCCAGCAATGGCTCCTTTAAACTAAACTGAATACTTAAGCAAAGAAAATTAACCTGAATCCAAAATATTTTATTCAATAAAAGACAAAATATTAGAAACATGAGAAACCCACAGAACCACTTTACAATCAAGATATAGTTAATAGCATATTTGTCGCCCTAGAAGGTAACAAGCATTTTTTTAAAATCCGCAAAATGGACACCATCCAATCTTAAGTATATGACTGAATTCAGGCTTGACCTGGAAAATGAAGTGTAAATGAAAGCCTTTACTAAATAACAACTCTGGAGGATCAGAAAGGCACCTTATGTGTTGGGCCTGACCTTAATCTGAGTTTATGATATTCCCAAGTGGGTTAACAGAGCAATACCTTTTCAGGAGTTGGATTTGAATAAAAAATGTTTGAACTGCCCCTAGGTTTCAGAGACAGCCCAAAAAGGTAAGAGAGGGAAATAGAATGAACATGGGGCCTGGTGATCAACTGGTCTCTTTCTGCCACAGTGGGTAGTAACTACTGACTCAAATGTTTACCACATTCATTTTTTATCTCGGTTTTTTTTTTCTAGCTCCTGCTAATGGCAGACCTACTAAACAGAGGCTCCAGGATATACTGTCCATAAAAACACATGAAGTAAGCCAAAGAATGTCATCTACCACCTAGGCCCCCAACACTATTCAATTCCCACCCAAAAACATCTTCCCTCTCTTTTGCACCAGGTAGCCCTTTTCTGGTTTTTCTCCTCTTCCTAGGAATTTTCCTCTCAAACTTGACTACTGTGGAACACGGCTATTTCATCATCAAAAACAAAATGAAAATTCAAAGTTAATTGATAATTTAATTTAAAAGTTTTCCTCCCATAAATATTCTCACACCTAAGCCTGTTTCATTAGACCAATGGACAAGTTGCAAAATACTAACAGAAATTAGGCAAACTCCCTATCATGCTTTATTATATTAACATTTTTGTGAATACGATTGTTATAATTTTAAATTTATATCCTCAAGGTGGACGTTTAGTGACTAGTAAATTTTCTATTTACTTATATACTAATAATATCTACTTATGCAAGAAGCAGAAAACCAGTCTAGGACCAACCACCTATTTTTGTAAAGTTTTATTAGGAAACACAAATTTAGGAGGAGGGGAGAGCAGTTTAGGAGTATCGGTTAAAAGAGAGACACTGTAGAGTGAGAGCTAAATCAAATCAGAGCTAAATCATGGGATTACTTGAAAACTGTAAAGGCTCAGATTTAAAACCACAGATTAACAAATTCAATCAGTGGTACTGCATTTTTTCACACAAGTTTTGATGATGATGACAGCGTGATTTCAGAGCCTAATGAAACAGTATTTCCTAAGTTCTAGCTAAAGCAGCAAAAATCTGACCTAATTTTTGCAGGTTAAAATGTCTGAGGCCCCGGTTTATCTGAGGAAGACAAAAATCCCTTACAGCCACAAGAGTGACGATAACAAAAGAGCTCTCCCGGCATTTCTCACGAAATCCCACTAGGAATGAAGTAATTTCGTAATTGCGTAACCATACCCTTAGGTCAAATTTAAAACCTATTTTGAGTTTGCACCTTTCTGGATGAGTTAGAGATTACGTGAACAATGGGTTACCTTCAATATCTAATTTATTTTTTACAACGTTATTTCTTCAGGGTCACGCTCCCTATTCAAAGTCTTCCCTCCTACGCTAACCTATACTTCGTTATTTCTAGCCCGACAAGTGAAATTAACACAGAGAAGCAATAAAAACGTGATTTGCTAAAACAGGATCAAGTTACTGCAACGCCACTTCAAGTACCACCGGGTAAACGGGAGACACTGAGCCAAAAGGCAGGCCCCAGGGTTCGACGTGCCAACCTCCCAACCTGACCGGCCCCCACCCCCAGCGAACACAAACGACTTCGCCGCACGGCTCACCTCTGCAGCTCCTCCTCCTGGATTCTCTCCTCGTCCCACACGAACACGCCAGCGAGCGCCGCCATCAAGGCAGAGGCATGGCCAGGGCGGCCTCGCAGCCGGCGCCAGAGGCGTCCGAGGAGGACGCGGCGCGAGCTCTCCGAGTAGAGGCGGCCGTACAGCTGCGCGATCTGCTGCGCGCGCCGCACACGCAGGCCCGTCACGAAGCGGCACTGATTGGCCAGCAGGGCGAGCAGGCCCCCGCCCTGCGCCCCCCCGCGCCCAGCCGCCGCCGCCGCGCCCGCCAGCCAGGCGGCCAGGGCCGGCGGCCTCCGCAGGAACATACCGTCTGCGCGCGCTCCGCCCAGGCCTCCTCCCTTACCCAACGCCCCCCCCCCCCGCCGCGCGCCCGGAGGCGAACTAGGCCTCCCTCCCTCACAGGGCAAAAGGAACGAGCCCGGGAAGGCGCGGCGGCCTGATTGCCAAGTGCCCCTAACTGGCCGACCCCGAACTCGTCTCACGATCTAACAGGCTTTTCATCTCTCTCTGCAGCAACCGCTGAGGAAGAGTCCCCTTTGCGGAGAGAGTCGGTCATGGCACAGCAGCGGGGGTGGCCCCGCAACCTCTGCCAAGAGGCGTTCGTAGACTCGGCCCGCGAACCCGACGGACCGACGCCGGTCAGCCCCGTTGGCCCCCTGCCTCCTTGGCGTCCTCAAGCCGGCACCAGGGCTAGTGGTGTAGAGCGCCTGGGAAGCAGCGAGGTGGGCGGCTCAGTCGCGGCAGCAGGTGAGGTCCCAAGCTTTCCGCGTCCGCCACATGCGCTGCCTACAACCTACCCTCTTCGCGGCCGCCCGGGTCCTGATTGGGCGCGGCCCGGGCTCCTCGGTGCTGATTGGCGCTGCTAAGGACTCGTCACCGCTCCTTCCAGCCCCTTCGCGCAGCGTGCCGGGCCCCTGGCTAGCAAGGTAGGTGGCGCACCAGAGAGCTAGTCAAGGGCGCCTGAGATTGACCCGCAGACCCGCCATATTCCCGCCACCCGGCCCCGCCCCGCGGAGGGGCGCGACCGAGTGCCAGTTAGGTTCCTAGGCGGTGCTCTATTGGTCTGAGAGACGGGGGAGCGTCGCCTCTTTTAGTAATTTGAGTGTAGGGTGGGATGGGGTCTCGGCATTTCCTCTGCGGGGTGCTGGGGGTGGCCAGGTTGGGGGGGAGGGTGGGGGCGGGACGGTGTAGACGCCTTTGGTGAATGGAGACCCTGCTGAGACCTAGAAGTAGCTGCCATCAAAACCTTCTTCGATCTCTCCAGGTGGCTGTCCTGCAAGGTACCGAGACAGACTCCGAGGATCGGAGTCTTAGCACTCATCTCTCCGCGAACCCCACGTCGCTAGAGTGGGCCGTTGTGGCATCCTTAGAGCTCAGGACACTTTCCAGAGAGTTACGTGGGCAGGTGGCCTGTCGTAGGCTGGAAATGCGTAAGCCTCTTGGTAAAAGGGCAGCAGAATGGAGTTACTTAGGGCAGATGCCCCAGTTCGGCTAGTAGCTGTCGGACTCCCTTGACTCAAAGGTGACAGCGTGAGAAGGTAAACAGGTTTCCTGAAACCTACTTCGCACCACCCATGAGCACCCTGGCTAAATGACCTCGAAGGACATTAAATTATTTTTCTGTACCCAAAAATGAAACTGTTCGATGTCCAGTAGGAGAACCTTACACTAAATTGTTTCCTTAATTTTTTTAGTTATATTAATACCTTAGGGACAAGAAAAAAATATTGTAAAAGGACATCTTGATAAAAAAGGAATTGTGCTCATTCCAAGATAATGCATTTAGAAATTTTACTCTTACTGTAGCTATTTGAGCAATTGTAGATGTTCTTAATAAAAAGTGTTTCTCCAAAAGAGAAAAAAATTAAGCTTTACTGGAAGCTGAAATTTAGATCTATCCTGTCCAGACTGTCTGATTTTACTCTGGGGATTCCTATTGATATTTATTTTCCCTTGAAAGCAAGTAAGGAGAAGGGGTATATAACAGAAAATAGTATTTGAAGCTTTGTTGAGTCAGGCTTTTCTCAATGATGTGAGGAGGTATGGGGAAAGAGGTTGAACTTTCCTACTGTCTTCCTTCCGTTGATTAAAAGCTTAGCTCTTCTGCTGGTTTGGGTTCTTTTTTTTTTTTTTTCTGTTTTTGTTTTGTTTATCAAAATGTATTCTCAGGAACTCCAGCTGAGCCACTCTAATCTGGCCATTTTTCTCCATCTCTACTGCCTCTTTTCCTTCAGTACATAAACACAAGTCCATCTTCAAAAAAGCTTTGGAAAAAAAAGAGACCTTTAACTCCTCTTTCCAGATACCACCTTTCTCTTTCTTTTCACAGCTATGATTTTGTTTAAGAAAATGGCATAAATAAGCTTGCTGTCTCCATTTCTGTGCCCACTTATCAATTCTTCCTCTTCAGAATTTTATAAATCAGTTTGTTCTACACCATTTCTCTCTTCCACTTTTTTGTTTAGGCCCTAACAGTATTCTGTAGCCTGACCTCCCTTCCAATCTATTATCAACAAACTTTTTGCTTGTGTATCTCCAGAACAAGTTGAAAAACTTTATTCCCTTTGTATATTTTTAAGCTGACCCAAAATTCTTCATCATGAGTGTGTCTTACGTAAGTTAGCTTCTGCCTTTCAGACCCACCAAACGTTGAGTAGGCCCAGCAATAGTTCATTAGTAAGACGGAAGTAGTACATCCAGAATTGGGTATGAACAGGATCAGAGGCAAAAGTAAGCTATACCAGCAGGTGGCCTAGACATCCATATCATCTACCATTTTGGACCAAAGCCTCTCCATCAGCCCGTATGTATGGCTGCATAGGAAGTGACAAAGGAGGAAAAAAAGCAAAACTTGATTTGCAGGTAGGTCAGAATGGTATGTGGGTACAAGCAGAAAATGAACTGTGGCTGTACTGTAGCCCTACCCTGAGGTGATCTTGAAAAACAGTGGCCAGGGAAATTCTCCCAATGAATAAATTCTCTCAGTGGTACACTTGGCCATTCACTTTGTGTGGAAAGAAATGTAACCACAGTTAGAATATATATGGACTGGCAGTTGGCCTGGCTGGTTGACTGGGGACCTGGCAGGAGAAAGATTAGAAAGATGAAGGATGAGAAGGTCTGGGAGAGAGGTATGTATTTAGATGGACTTTGTGAGTGGGCACGAAGTGCGCAGATGCCCACCCAAGAGTATCTACCATGAAAGAGGCACTAAACAACCAAGTAGAAAGAATGACTCACCAATTGATGTCAGATGCTATCAGCCATCTCAGTACCAGCACAATGGGCATGTGAATGGAGTAGCCATGGTAGCAGGGATGGGAGTAATACATGGGCCCAAGAGCATGGGCTCCCACTCACAAAGGCTGATGCCACTGCTGAATGCCTAGCCTTGCAGCAGTGAATCCAATGCTGAACTCCCCAAATGGCAGTATTCCTCAAGGAGAGCAACCAGGTGCTTGACAACATTGGATACTTTCCACCCTGGAAATGGCATCAATTTATGTTGACTGGAATTACTACATTCTGTGTGTGGCTTGCCTCTTCTGTCTGTGGGGCTTCAGCCAGCACCAATATCTCCAGTGTTGATGGAGTGTCTGACCCATTGACATAGGATCCCACATAAAAATGCATTAAACCAAAGGATCCACTGCACAGCCTTGGAGGCAGGACAGTGGCACATGACCATGGGATCCACTGGCCTTACCACAGTCTGTACCATCCTGATACCAGCAAGAACAGAGAGAAGGAATGGCCTGTGAAGGCATAGCTGAGGTTCCAGCACAGAGATGGTACCAACTAAGGATGGGATACCACCTTCCACAACACAGTGTACATTCTGTCAACAGTCAATATAGTGCTATGTCCCAATAAGAATAGATAGGTCCAGGGAGCAAGGGGTGGAAGTAGGAGTGGCTTCACTTACCATTAAGCCCAGTGATCCTATTGGGTATTTCTGTCACTGCAAGTCTGAGCTTTGAGGGTTTTGAAGTCCTGGTTCCCGAAGTGGAAGTCTTTTCATCAGGGGCTATAGCAAAAATCCCACTGCACTTTAATTTACAAGTGCCACCAGGCACTTTGAGCTCTTCATGCCAAGGGACCAGCAGGCAAGAAGCAGGAGTCACCATCCTGGCAGCAGTAATTGACCCTGATTATCAGGAAGAGCCAAGGCTGCAGTTACACAGTGGGAGCAAAGAGGAAGATGTTTTGGGTACCCACACAGTCCAGCTGGCTGTCTCTGTTATACCCTTGCTCAATTTTGATAGTAAATACAGAAGTGCAGCAGCCAAGGCCTGAAAAGGACATGGTGACCAGGCGCTCAGCAGAGGTGCTTCCTGAGGGTGAGAAGCACCTAAAATGAATGGTAGAGGAGGAGGGTAACAGTTGGGGGCTCAAGACCAGCTGTAGTGGTGGGAAATGTGGCTCATCCCATTAACCATCAGCTTCCCCCAGAAAAATCAAGCTAGCCCCAAAACTTATACAAGGAAGTGGATCTGAGTAGTAGGCATAAGGAATATTGGACACCATGATACGCCATCCCAGTCCACCTTCAGGACTGAAGGGCTTCTTGCCCCTTGCTACTTTGAGTATTGTTGGCGAACAGCCCTCAGTTATCAACCCTCTTCAGGATTGCCCTCAGGTGATAGAATTCCTCACCCAAGGTAACACCTTCCTCTCTGGGGACAGCACGCATCCAATGACTGGCTGAAGCTAGCATATAAAGGCCTGGTTCCCCCACCCCAATTCAGGACAACTCGAAAGGCCATCCCAGCTTCAGAACTTCTCTCTCTAACCAAGACTACTTCCTTCCCTTCCTCCATACGTGTTGAACCTGAGAGCACCTCCAATACCACATGCTAATCTTCATCTCTCAGTCTGCTGCCCAGGGGACCCAACCTGAAAGAGCCTCTGTCATCACGCTTAGTAGAGTATGTCTGTCCAGAGAACTGGTACTGGAAGTCAGGTCATGGGCTCTCTCTGCCTGGAAAGTGCTATGGACACTGCATACTCCCCTCCAGATGATTTTCTCTGGTATCCCTTCGCAGATAACCTTGCCCTCTGACCTGCCCTTCCTCATGGCAGGTTCCTCATGCAGGTTCCTCATGCAGGCTCCAGGTCCTGCACTGGACATCATCTCTCCCGGTTTGGGGATCTGGCAGAAGTAGGAAGCACCAATTTATTGACTTAGCAGCATAGGTAAAAATCATTTCTCAGGCATTACACCTGAGGATAGGCATTCCCCAGAGAATTAAATGGGCCTACTATAAGTTAATTAGGCTCTGATGCCATGCCTTGGTCCCTTTTTCCCAAGTACTTGGAAAGTAACTTGTCTGAGTCTGATGCAAACCCTGGACTCCCAACTGTCAAGCCAAGAGGTGGCAGTAATTGCCTTCTCTTCCCTTCAAAATGGTATGTAACCCAAAGCTCTGTTCATCTATTATTCAGAACGGAAAGCATTGACAATATTCATCCACTTACTCATCCGTATGTGCAATCTTTTCCTAACAGGCAGTTTCCCTTAATTCACAACTTAGAAACCATCCATGAAAGCATCTGTTTTTGTCATCAAGGATAGAGCTGTATATGAAACCACCAGGCTAAAGACACCTCAGGTCAGCTCTTCCAGAACCAGATCAAAATCCCCTGGATAAAAGAGACTCATCCCAGTCCTTAAACAAGAGATTAGTGTGAGCCTAGGGCTGCTGTTGGCCATCTTCACCACCTTTGGGGAGAGACTGCCTGAGTCCATGAGCAGAACAGAGAGAGGGAGAGAGAAAGAGTGTTGGGACGTCATCATTTGAACAC